ATATATTTTTATATAATATATATAACACGATACAACGAATACTGTTAGGTGTATCTTAAGGCACTCGTGCGAATAAAATCTAAAACATTTGAAACAAATAAAGAAAAACAAAGTCTCTAACTTTAATAACAATTCATAAATGTACACACACCTAACTATATAGTATTTAGTTAAATTGGTCCAGAACTAGAACTGATGAAAAACACTTTCACTCTGTTAAACCCTCGTAAGGAAATAGCGTTAAACGATCGTCGAACACAATCGACCAACCCTGTATTAATAATAACGTTTTATTGTAGCCTCTTAACAATATTATTAAAACTCCGTCTAAAGCCAGGAACTAGTGCTTTAAGGAATTGTTTCATCCTTGACACGCTTTCACACTTTAATTAGAATGTACACTGCAAAGTTTTTCTTCTGCATCGTTTACTATCGATCAATATTTCTATTAGTGAATACACTTCAAATGTACTTTTAAAAATCAAGTGCGAAATAAAGTGAAAAGGGAGGATGAAACTATCACTGTAATATATAAAATCTGTGTTAACAGAGACTTTGGGGTTGATACATATGGGAGCATCACTATCCAGTGTCTGAACACTGCGCACTTTATGACATATAACGCATATATTTAATTTAGCCCGTTTGCACGCAGAAATTATATCGTATTTTGAGATTGGCCTCGGCTCTTGCTCGCTTTAAATTCTTCTAATATTAATTATTAATATCACGAGTTTTGCTTTAATAGATCTTCTGTGTTATGGCAATATAGATAGGTACTCATCAATATTTAACACGCTGGATGCAGATTCTCCCCACAATCTTTTCTAACGCTTACCACAGCTTTTGCATTATTAACTACAATACTGAGCTATAAGACACTGTTTATTTTGCGTAATTTGTCACGTAATATTTTTAATAAATATAGCAATATATGTATGTATATGTATTGTATATATAACTATCGACCGTCATAATAAATGTTTCTTTTTATGAAGAATATATACAAATATATTATTGTCTTCGTATTTTACGATAGACAATTTAAAATCATTACTTTTAAAATAACATCGATAAAATCTATAAATATACAAATAAAATAACACTCAGATAAAATATTCTAAATATTCTAAATAAAATTTTATAAACAGTGATAACTTTTAAACAAAAAAATAAAATGTTTAGCCATTTCGAATGCATTTAACATCAACTCATGATGAGAATATATCGACAAATCGATATCGTTTATGTAGAACTCGCAAACAGTTCTATTAAGTAAACTTTTCATTACGCAAGATAAGTTGTTTTTATATCTCATAGCTCAAGTTTTTCGATATATATCTATATGTATAATAGGAATGTTCCATTTTTTTCTTGTACGCCGCCTCTATTATCAGAGACAAAATTGTACCGTATTTCACATAATTTTAACCGTATACATCTCTTACAAACATAATATTGCCAGTGTACATATTTTTGCAAACTGGAATGA